CCGAGCGAGTCGGCGGCGGCGGCCACGGGGCGCGAAGGCATCGCGGCGGCCGGAGACGGCGGGCGGGAGGGGAGAGAAGACACAAAAGACCGTGAGCGAATACGAACACCAGCCCCGAGCGCTCGGGCGCCCCGGCCCGGGCCAGCGTGGGCTCGGCGGGCGTGGAGCGCCGGCGTAGACCTTACGGGAGGGGCGGCAGTCTCAGGGAGCGGCGGCGGGCAGCCCGGATATCTCCGCACGCCGGGCCCCGCGGTCAATCAATCTCAGTCCTACATTGTTGTTCCGCCCCCTCCCCGCACCCACCAATCCGCGTTGTTCCCACCTCCGGTCACACCCCTTCTCCTCTTCCCATTGGCTGTAATCAGGAGTCCGCCCTGCTGGGCCCGCCACTCTTCGGTCTCAAAGCGCCTGCACCCGCGCTTCCTCCCGCCTCCTTGCCTGCTTCTGGCAACTCAAGTTCCGTGTCTGCAGGCTGCGGGTGGCTTCGCGTCTCCCGGCCCTGCCTTCCTCCCTTCGCCTGCTGCTTTCTCTCCTCCACCCCCTTCCGCGATGTACTGCTTCCTAGCACCCAATGGGAAACGGCGATAATTCCAACTTATCTTTAACCTCCCCTTGCATTAAAATGATCAGGTTCCCTCTCCCCCAAGGTTTTTGCTAGTTTTTATTTGTCCATCTCCGCGGCCGCTCCAGCTTCTCGAAAGAAGCTGGTGCTTTTTCTGAGCTCGGTGCAGCAGGTCCCCCATCTCAACCAATCACAAATGATACCCGCGGTCGAACGCGAGCTGCTGGGAGGGACTGGAGGGTACCGGAGAACTCCAGGAGGAATTCGCTGGCCAGCACCAGAGGATCCGGTGAGGATCCGGTGTTGTTCCTTTGACATTTCCCTACCTCAAAGCAGCGGGGAGAGGGGTCTGAGAGTGGGTGAACATCCACGTGTTCGCCTACGGTGTAATTACGCAGTGTAATTGTGCCACGATTTGTTGTTAGTGGCTTTTCCACAGATTTCCAGTCTTGTGAGATTAATTCTATGTCAGATCACGTCCTACTTTTAAATCTTTCCCCCAAATGGCTCTATTAAGTGGAGATAAAGCAGCGGTGAGATCGATGACAGGCTCCAATTTGTTATCAGTAAGTGTGAAGTGGTATCTCCTCTCAGAAATGGCCCCAAGTCTGGGAAACATCGCTTACTGGCCTGGCCTCTGCCCTGCCCTCTGCTCAGAACTGCCGTTCTAAAATCCACTTACTGCATCCAAATTATAGTTTGCTCCTTTACCCGCTACGTTACTCAGAATCTCTAATTAGGAATTTCGTATCAACCACAGACACATTAACATTCCAAGTTACAATGTGCTAATCAATGGACCAAGATAATTGGGGGCAAACCTTAGATTTCACCAGCTTAGTCATTAGACACATTGTGAATTGCTCAAACCACTAGGTCCCCCTAATGAAGGATACGTATGTGTTTTTACTGTAATTTTTCATTACTTATTACATACTGTGATGACTCAGCTGGTAAACACACCTTTCACTACCCACGATATAATCCAAGCCCTGTATCTATCTTTAATGTGCTTAATAATAGCTTCACAGTTGCCCGGAGAAATGACTTTTGGTGGGGGGGGGTAGGACATATCTGACATTTTTATATAATGCTGAGGACTAAATACCTTAGCCCAAAATTACTCTTTTGAACTTGCTATATATATTCTGTGAAGTAAAGCCTACAAAATACTCGTAAATGTCTTTTAAAAAAGTCATACTGTAATTCATTTTTTGAAACTGTTTAGCTCACAAAGACTAACGGTAAGCTGTAGGGTTTTCTTCTTAAACCAAGATGGAATACGGTCCCTATAAAAAGCACCCCACTTCGTTAGCAATACGTCAATAACCAAAGTGAAGGATCAGCTGATTAAATTTGGTTTGGGTCTTTCTATTGGTGACTTTCTGTGTTCTTTCTACTACTCCATTCTTTTCTTTATACGAGTAGCGTAGACTTTTCTTATCGCTAGAGGGAAACCTCGAGTTACTTCAAATGCTGGTGTCATGAAACAAGAACTGAAGAGTCCGAGGAAAAACTTCATCTCCGCTAAGGTGCTTTATTGCTCCTCTGTTGTAAAATTTGACAAGCTCAAGATTTATAAGCCTAACAATTCACTTTTTATTGCTGCCTAAGTGTTCAGCCGCTGTAAGAAAAATGCTAATTTTCCCAATTAAACCGCAAGGTGGTTCCTATTTTCAAGACATTAGCTCAGGTGACACACTTGAGAATAAATCGGGACTGTTGGCCAGATCAAGAATGGCTTGAAAATCAAGAGTGTGCTGAATGGTCATGTACACCCCAGCCATCCCCCAGGCTCGCATGCTTCAAATTTAAGGAAGATTTTTGAACTCAACAAAGACAAATCTGGGAACGCAAACGTGAAAGTGATGACTTTTTATAACTTTTACATTTTAATTAGAAAGAATCATGAGGTGGCTGGCGACTTGAATAACTGAACAGATTCAGCCTGCTTGTGGCCCCTTGTATTCGTTCTTCCTTCCCTCTTTGTTGTCAGGAAGGAAAGATCAGCAAAGCATACCCCAGTATGGATATGCAAGCGGACAGCATTAAAACGCATGCCAGGAACATTAATGGATTCTAAAGCAGATGCGGTTTCATTTCCTGAACCCATACACGTTGTCTTAACTGTTTCCCAGTTATAGCTCCATTTCCAGAAATCTAACACGAGGAGGACACAGAAGCCAGGAATCAGACCTGGGGTTGCAATTTCTGCAAACCCATTCTGGAGGAAGGGCTCCCCGGCCGCTCCCGGTCCACTGAGTAAGCGAAGCAAGGGCAGAAATAGCCAGAGCCCAGCAGCCCAGCGGCCAGCAGCTCGTGGTTTGTACTTACATCATTCTTAACCCTTCCGCTCCTGGAAGGGGCTCAGCGGGATCGAGGGGCCCCCGAGCTCCGGAACACGCAGGACCTGGGTGTAAGAGAAGAGCCCCAGAACTCGACATGAGCGCAGAGACCCAGGAGGGCCTGGGGGTGCGGGGGGTTCATCCCCCGCGCTTGCCCCTCGGGCCCGGTATCCCTGCGGACTCGAGCTCTGCTCGCCTGGCTCAAAGCGGCAGGTGCAGAAAGCATTTGGGAGCCGCTTGCCAGCGCGCGGAGGTAATGCGCTTCCTGTCCATTTATCTCAGGAAACCAGCTCAGTCTTCCCTTCGAAACAAAATTAACCTCTCATTAGCCGACCACTCACTCCCAAGAAGGCCTTAAAAGCGTTACCAGCTCTCTAATGTATTTAGGCTTTTCTGCCAGGCCCAAAGCAGCCTCCGCCGGTGACTAACTTCCCACCCCAGGGGTTCTTCTGGATCCCTCCCTCCCCAACCCCACTTCACCAGGACCCAAACATCTACTTCTCTCCAGCCTAAACTCTGGGAAAGTCTGGCTAACCTATCATCCCAGTTTGTATTGCCCGGCCAAGCTGACACCCCCTACACCAACTTCACTGCAGAAGCCTCTAGAACACCTTCCCTCTAATTTCATAGGTGCCCTCCATGTCAGCTCCACTTTCCTCAAGGAACAAGGAAGGGAGCTTGGGAGGAAATTCGGGGTTCAGCTGCCCCCCCCAGATCCTGGACACTGATTGCCTTCCCCTGGGGCGTGCAGCCAGGCTCTGGGGTGGAGGGCAGCATTAGTTAGGATCTAGTCGGTTCCAGGCATAGAGAACGAGATGGGGTCCTGGTCTGCCAGTGGGAAGAACGGGCTTTCTCACCCTGCCCCCCCCGCCCCCCCCGCGCCGCCCTCAGGCTGGCAGATTTATACCACACAGGTGGAAGGAGACCAAAACAAAACAGTCCGGGGGCCCGCTGCCTGCCGTCCGCCCCCCACGTCCTCCTGGCCCACCGCAAACTTCAACAAAATAAACAACTCACCACAGGCATTCCCTTGTCTGCAGCGCGACGCTTGCCAGCTGGGAAAATAAGCCGCAAGCCACGCGGCCGGGGCGCAGAAGGACGGCGGAGGCGCGGCGCCCGCCCCTCTGGTCCAGGTGTAGGGGGGACCCGGGCCCCCCGGGGGCGGGAGGAGGCCCCGCCCGTGCGGGAGGGGGTGCTCGCTCAGCTCCCGGACGCTGGAGTGGGAGCAGTTGCACCCTCCCGCCGGCGTGATCCCTCTGCCACCTAGGGGAGAGGCCGGGAGCCAGAGCCCTCAGTCCCTCGCCCTCACTTCCTCCCTTCAGTCTCGCACCCCGCGGAGCGTGCCTGCTCCTCTCGGAACCCACAACCTCCCCAGCTCCATTCCAACCCCTGACGGGGTCCCCCCCCAGGTTCTAGTGCGCTCCAGGGGTGCCTGTGCCAGAGTCTCCCCGGCCCAGGTCCCTACTTTCAAGTCCGGGCTCATCCATCTTCTCCCCTAGTCCGCCTCCCCCCCCGCCCACCCCCCACCCCCCGCTCTCGCACAAAGACACTTTTCACGCCGCCAGTGCCACCCTCCGCGCTGCCCCGAACGCGCGCCTTACCGCCTTGGCCCACCCGTGGCACCCCCCGATTCCGGGGGGCGATCGATGCCAGTGGTGCCCTGGGCAAAGCAGCACTGACCCGTACGGGTTGTGTCCACTTCGCGCCTGGGCACAACGCCTTTCTCTAGCCGC